CTCACTTGTCCTAATGCTAACTAAGGGGGCTTTGGGACAGGCTGATGGTGGTGTCTTCCGCCGAATACACCTACCACAGGCTTTGATGTAGCTAGAGACATCGCTTTCCATCTTGGGCCAATAAAACCTATCTCTGACTAAATCAAGGGTTCGGTCCCTGCCAAAATGACCTAAATCATCATGTAGCCCTTTCAAAGCTTTAAGTTTAAAGGAAGAAGGGAGGACCAATTGAAAACAATCTTGGCCATTCTTGTCCTTTCGTCGACCGTGTAGCACACCGTCGCGCATGCAAAGGCGGTCCCACTCTTTAAGGGCAATAAGGGTTAGTTTATTTTCAGCTTGTCGTTCGTGGGGGTTGGGACGAGAATTCCTATCTAAATAAAATAAAATCCTAGCTATAGTGGGGTCTGTTTCCTGAAGGGATTTCCAATCGGAGGGGTTCATAGATGACATAGTGTGTGGGGATGATTGTACAATTACTGGTGGGGGGACGGGACTGTCATCGCTTAAGATGGGTAGGGAATCTACTAAAGGGGTAGGTTCTACATCGCTAAAATCAAGGTTGATCTGGTGGTAACTATTTAAGGCTTGTATTACCTCATGATTTAGGGAGGTGATGTTAGCACTTTCGTCCACCTAGGGTTCGAGTCTTGATAACAGGTCTAACCGCCGTGGTATTTATTTACATTATACATGAAATCATATAACAAATATATATTTTATTATCCATTTTTTTTATTTTATAAACATGATCAGCAACCAGCGCAGATTTTCGAAGTTACTGGTTTCAGGAAGTAGGTGAACACAAGTGAAGTGGTGAACTGCGCTTCAGCGTACATGTTTGTACCTAGAAATAGCTAGTCGTCTATTTTAGCATCTGACCTACTTCTGTCTTTGCAATAATGTAACAAAAATGGAAATAAGACAAAAAAGAAATCACAAACCTTGTGTCATCTTCTCCTGAGTACCATGGCAATAAATATGTGGAAACTTTTCTTTCCACAATTATACTCCAGTTATGCAACTAAAGAAATAGGTCTAGCAAGTTGAGTGATTTTCTCGGGCTTATGAATATAACAGAAGCATGAAAAGACTTTTAAAATTATCAAAGTATTGATAATTTTATATGGAAAATATAAATATGGAAATAGTACATATTTCCTTTACAATATTATTATAACATGATCAGAACATTTATGGTAAATGGAAACGTAACAGACAAGAAAAAAAAAACGTATAGGAAACTAATCTATTGACTATACTTATTCCATAGATTTTTATTTGATTCAAGCATTAATAAAAATTATATCAATATATATAGCAAGAACCAAAAAAATGTATCTCAAACTCGGTCAACTTCGTAACATCTGCGTTGTTTCTGTAAAAAAAAGAAAAATAGCACCAAGTTATACAGTAATATAGTAACAATAACAAACTTTAATACTAATAAAAATAATTGTTAATAAACTAATGTTACAGTAATTTAAATAACAAATTGGCTGGTTTTTCCAGATATAATGTAAATTTAAAAAAAATATAATAATAATAATAATAATCAATAACATCATACCATATTTTAGTATTTATTTCATTTGCTGTATTTGTTATGTAGTAGAATGCGTAGGATTCATAGCAAAACGAAAATAAAAACAATAACAAACTTTAATACTAATAAAAATAATTGTTAATAAACTAATGTTACAGTAATTTAAATGACAAATTGGCTGGTTTTTCCAGACACAATGTAAATAAATAAAAATAATAATATATAATAAAAATATTAATAATAATAATATAACATCATATCATATTTTAGTATTTATTTTATTTGCTGTATTTGTTATGTAGTAGAAAGCGTAGGATTCATAACAAAACAAAAATAAAAACCATCCGATAATATTAATTGATAGTTTAGTAATAATAGTATTAATTTTATTTGCTTTTAAGTAGCCTGTTGTTACTTATTAGAAATACAACAAAACATAAATAAAAAAAGTATGATAAACCGATTGACGAACTTGCAATGATAATAAGGCCTAGGCCTAGTTATATTAAATTTAGCGTTTCGAAACTCCATTGGCGTTCCATATATTTGTTGAAAACAAACCGCGACCGAAATGAAGCGCGACCGAAACGAAGCGCGACCGAAATGATCTGTCTGTATTCCGATTGTCTACCTAGCCTAGGCCTCTACTAGCCTAGGCCTATACTAGCCCAGGCCTATGTATGGCATGGCTATATAGGGCCTAAGCCTAAGGCTATATAGGCCTAGCCTATAATTATATGCCTAGGCCTAGGCTAGACCTAACCTACCTTGGCCCGATCGTCTAGGCCCCATCCTCTGTTCTAAAAAGTGTACCCGATAGTCCACGGTATGAATTCCCACGGTATGTGGACCCGATTGCCAACACACATAGGCATAGCCTAGGCCTAGCCTAGCCCTCTAGTTGGGTCTGAACGTCTGCAAATGGGTATGGCCTGTTCTGTCACACAGGATTCTCTGTCACCCGTGTCACAATCGACCATTCCAGCAGAAAAATGTGCCTGGCTAGCAATTTTTCACAAATTTTGCAATGTACAAGTTGACAAGTCATTAATAATATTATAGTATAAAAACCCTACCTCATAACACAAAATTTGAATATTTAATAATACCGCGTTCAGAAATTAAATACTTATGAATTACAATACAACTAAAAAGCAAGCTAGCTACTTGGCCTAAGCAGCCTTACTTACATCGACCTCCGCCATATTCATTGTTATTGTATCCATAGAGACAAGGACCAGGGTCAGGTTTGCCCATAGGTTGTCGACGAGACAGCGGCTTGCGATTTTCTTTCCGTACGAAACATTTTGCATGAAACTCCACTCGGGTTGTCTCGACTGACTCGACTGGAAAATCGCAATTCTGGAGGTCAAAAGGTCATCAACCAAAGATAAACGTCTACAAAACTTCTGAGATACAGGATTGTTGCTCGCTGTCTGATTTAAAAAAAAAACACACTGCCATTCTAATACAATGAGTCGTTTAAAACGACATAGGTATTATTTGATTTCGCTGCACGAATAATAAAAAGTGTTAGGCCCTATTTGAATTTGAGTTACATACTGTGAAAATTTTTATTTTTTAGTTGGCCGCGGTTTTGGATAATTGTTTAACCTATGTCATGACGAATTCGAGTCAACTCGGCCCCTTGTCAACTCGGCCTCAATTTACTGTGTACGGTATTTATTGAATATTTACCAAGAGATTTGAATGCAAAGCCAAAATTAAAGTGTTTTTAAATCGTTGCCTTTTCTATTTCGTTTCATTTACATGCACTTACCAGGGCCGGCGGAACGTTTTTCAAAGTGGGGGGGGGGGCCCCACTTATAAGCGGGGGCCCCCACTTATAAGCAGGCGCGTAACAGGGGTCTTAGGT